GAAGACATCCTTCTAACTAACTTCTCTGTAGAGGAAATTGAAGCCTGTCATGGCTTCCTGCAAAATATAAATAAAACCTTAGCTGACGGATCTGTTGGAAAATTGACACAACAAATTTTCCCAGGAAGAGGTAGGTTCTAGGAACATTTGTTTTTGTTTTCTTCTTTACACATCGCTACCAGAACAGGCTAATGGGTCAATGTGGAAGAGACGAGGCAGAAAGGTGTTTTGTTTTCAAAGTTGTTTGATGTTTGGGCAGAAACCTTTCATTTTGCACCTACAGTCATACAATTTACATGGTATAATTTTTGTTGCAAATCAACCAGTGTAAACTTTCCTGCTAAGAGGTCCCAGAGGTAACGTAATTCATTTCTTCCTATTCTGAGCCAGTGGATGTGGACGAAAACAACTTTTTCATTTGAACGGGCAGAGAATGTCTTTCAGGAGGAGCTTTTCTTTACCTTCGGGAAGGTACTGACATAAGGTCTTCCATTAAATGATTTTCTAAGATCTTCCAGCCTGAAATTTAGGGAACAAACTTTAGTTTCCCAGCGTGAACTCCTTTCCTTTGTCTGTTTTCCTCTCAAAGGTGAATAGGGAAAAAAACTCAAAAAAAATACACTTTCTCTCCTGTGGAGGATACATTGTCCATGCCAAATTTAGAAAGCAAAATCAACGTCCACAACAAGTCCACCCTTGAGTATAATCCATGATCGCAAGATAGATCATGTAATTGCACAATAATAGTAGTGGTGATAATAGTAGTTTGCACCCTGAATCAACAATGTGACCGGGAGTATCAGTAGTTTGTACAGTGTGATCGTGCGGGTGAGGGAACTTCTGAAAAGAGCTAATGTTGGTGACTGACGTTTTGACAACTTGAGCAGAAGTCATCTGAAGATGACTCTGAAGATGACTTCTGCTCAGGTTGTCGAAATGTCAGTCACCAACAACAGGTAGTTCTTTTCAGAACTACCTGTAGTGTTTAGAGTTACACGGTGACAGACACGCCTTACGTCATATAGCGAAGCATGCTGGGAATAAAATATAGACAGTTGTGATTCCAACATGGCTGGTGTGCTGACTTTGTGTCATCTTGTGTGATACACACCATCATTTAAAACATTGCATTGCAATGAGGGTTGGCAAAAATCGCTCCAAGATACTCATAACTGCCTGTGTGACCAAGTGTCTAATCTTTGTGATGGCTACAGTGATTCCACAATTCGAACCGTTCAACATACACACGGATGGCGCCATTGCCCAACGATGGCAAAAATGGATCAAACGACTCAAAAACCTTGTTGCTTCTGCTATAAGTGATAAGAAGAGACAGCGAGCTATTTAACTGCACTATGCTGGAGAGGAAATATCCAAAATCTTTGATACTTTGCCGGACACTGGTGAAGATTTTGAAGGGGCTAAAACAAAGCTAAACGCATACTTTAACCCCAAGATGAATGTGGAATTTTAGATCTTCACGTTTCGGCAGGCAAGGCAAAACCCAGGTGAAAGCATGAATTTGTATCACTCCCGCTTGTGACAGTTGGCAGCTTCCTGTGAATTTACTGACGTCGACAAGGCAATTAAATCTCAAATAATTCAGTCATGCACATCGCAGCATCTTTCCCAAAAAGCACTGAGAGATTCGACCATGACACTCGCAGCTCTGTTGGCCAAAGCAAGAGTGTTGGAGGTCTTGGAGCAGCAAGCAACTGACATAAAATCGCTAGGAACTGCCAATGCTGTGTTACCTCCGAAATCCGAAACACCAGACAAGACAGCTCGTTAATTTAACTGTGGAGAACGTTGGCCACATAATGCCAAAGCTGGGTGTCCTGCTTGGAATCGAGAGTGCAATTCCTGTGAAAAATATGGCCATTATGCGCAGTATTGTCGAAGTTCTTAAAAAGGTCAGTCTGGTGGGAGAGGCAGACCATATTGAAAAGGAAACAAGAAACAAGGACGTCGACATCCCAAGCCTCCACGAACCGTTAACCAAGTGAACAAAGAGTCAAGGCCATGCTCACTGCCGTCGAGTTCAGGTGATGAATACACGTTCACGTTAAGTTCTCGTACCAAGGTTAGTCCTCCATTTGTGTCATTAAAAGTCAATGGTGTCACATGCAAGTTCTTAGTGGACTCTGGAGCCAATGTGAACATTGTCAGTTATGATGTGTCAAAGATGTTTCACTGTAGACTAGAACTCTGTGATACTAAAGTGTGAAAAAAATGAAAAAAATACTAAAGTGTATGCTTTCAACTCATCTGAACCCCTCCCCGTGCTGGGTAAATTCAAGGCCTTAGTGGAATCTAAGTCTCATTCAGTTGACTCTGAATTTCTCGTGGTAGATGGCAAAACCTCTCTTCTTGGATGTACAACTGCTACAGACCTTGGAATACTGCAAATTGCAAATGCTGTGTCTGTGGAAAGGAATGTATTCCAAAATTACCCAAGTCTTTTCAGTGGCCTTGGAAGGATAAAGAATGTTGAGGTCATATTGCATATTGGTGAGAAGTGAGACCTATTAATCAATCGCAGACACATCCCATTTCATCAATGAAAGAATCTTGAAGCTTGTGTTGAATCCCTGCTGCAACAGGATATCATTGAACCCGCTGATGAACCTACCCCCTAGGTATTCCCTGTGGTCTTGGTGCCCAAGGCCAAACGACCTGGTGGAGTATGCCTGTGCGTTGACATGAGGGAAGCTAACAAAGCGATAACCCAAGAAAGAATCCTTATGCCTACCCTTGATGAAGCGTTACACGACCTAAATGGTGCAAAAGTGTTTGATCTCAATCAATGATATCATCAGCTGGTCCTGCACCTAGACACCAGGCACATCACCACCTTCTCCACTCAACTTGGTTTGTACAGGTATAAGTGCCTTAGTTTTGACGTGAATGCTGCAGCTGAAAAATTTCAGGATGTAATTGCTACTGCTATTAGTGACATCCCCAATGTCAAGAACATTAGCAATGATGTCATCATCTATGGAGTCAACATGGAGGAGCATGATAAGACCTTGCATGCTGTCCTAACCCACTTCAAGGAGTTGAACTTGACTCTGAAAAAAAAAGTGCCAATTTTACATGCCACATATTGAGTTCTTTGGTATGGTCTTCAGTGCAGATGGTATGTCACCTGATCCTGCAAGAGTAGAAGCAATCAAGCAAGCAGAAGCACCTACCTCAGTGAGCGATGTGTGCAGCCTGTTAGGCATGACCAACTATGTGTCTCGTTTCATACGTGATTATGCAGACATTGTGGCCCCTTTGCGTGACATCACTCACAATGGGGTTGAATTCAAATGGGAAGATGTTCACCAAGCAGCGTTAGGGCGACTCAAGTGTAGTCTCACCTCCGCAGAAGTACTGGCATATTTTGACCCTGGCAAGAAATCAATCCTGCTCATGGATGCTAGTCCTGTTGGATTAGGTGCCATGTTAACTCAAGTTGGCAGAGTGATTTCTTACGCCAGCAAAGCTCACTCTAGTGTGGAAAGGTGCTACTCCCAAATTGAGCGTAAGGCATTGGCAATCACATGGGGTTGTCATCACTTCCGTATGTACCTCCTGGGAGGTCAATTCAAAGTTGTGATGGATAACAAGCCATTGCTATCCATTTTCAATAGCCCCACTTCCCAAGCCTCAGCTAGGATTGAGAACTGGCATCTCAAACTACAGTCTTTCAACTTCAAAGTGTTGTATTCAAGAGGTGACCTGAATCCAGCAGACTACATCTCAAGGCATCTCCAGGGTAATGCAAAGTGTGATCTCATCGCTGAGTCTGCGGAGCAGTATGTCAACTTTGTGATGTCTCAAACCACACCTATGGCTCTGAGCAGAGAAGAGATCAGTAAAGCCAGCAGAAAAGATGCACTCTTCAAGAAGTAATGCACATCATCTCAACTGGCCAGTGGGATAATCTGAAGCCAGTGGAGGGAGTTGACCCAAACAGTCTCAAGATATTTGCTGACATCCGTAGTGAGTTGACTTTAGTGGATGGTAACCTTGTGTTTCATGGAAGCTGCAGAGTATTGCCTGATGCACTTCAGAAATGAGTGGTCAAATTGGCTCACTAAGGCCATCAAGGGCAAGTAGACTCGTAGCCTGTTGCCCTCAAAGGTCTGGTTTCCAAGACTGGACAGCCTGGTTGATTCTACCGTGAAACGTTGTGTTCCCTGTCAAGTTGCCATGCCTAAACCTTCACGTGAACCTCTCCAGATGACTCCTTTGTCCAATGGTCCATGGGAACAAGTAAGCATTGACTTCTGTAAAGTTGCTGAACAAAATGTCCTTGTTGTAACTGATGATTATTCAAGATCTCCTGAGATTGAGGTCGACTCTACTTCTGCTAAAGTGGCGATTCCTAAGCTTGACCACATATTTGCTGCCTATGGCGTACCCCAAGTGGTAAAGTCTGATAATGCCCCCCCCTTCAATGGTGATGAGTTCACACAATTTGCTAAATATCTTGGTTCCAAGCACCAAAAGGTCTCTCCTCTGTGGCCCAAAGCCAGTGGAGAAGTAGAACACTTTATGAAAACCTTTGGAAAGGTGCTACGCACCACTACCAGCTGGAAGCAAGAAATGTATTAGTTCCTATGTAACCATCGTGCTACCCCCCCATTGTACTATAGGTCTTGCCCCTGCTACAGCCCTGTTTGGGAGGCCAATTAGAATCAAGCTACCCAACCATGTAGTTGTGCCAAGTGGTGAAAATTATGACCCTATAACCATGTGCAAGAGATGCTCAGCAGAAACTCAAGATCAAGCCAAGCTGAGTCTAAAAGAGCAGTCAAAGATTGTGACATTCAGGTCAGAGACACAGTACTAGTCAGACAACCAAAGCGAGAAAAGCTATCACCCAACCCTGTTGACTGTTCCTAAGCATCACAGAAAGCTAACAGCAGAAAACGCCGACCGAAAGGTGACACGTAATTCGTCTCACTTCAAAAAACTTCTGGCTGATGACTCAACCACATTCAGAACCAGTCAGTCACATAAGGGAGAGGGAATTAACCTGGACACTGATAGCAGCTCTCCTCCTGGTATTCCAGTCTCAGTCCAGGAGTCCACAGACTCACCAGTGGACCCTGGTGGAAATGCTGAGATCCTAACTGAACCTGTGTTGAAGGTCTGCACATGTATCTGTGCCCCCAAAGAGACTTATCCAAAAGATTTGATTAGTGATGATTCACTGTTTTAAAGTCATTTTGAAGATTTATTTGACGAAAATTCTTTAATACTGATTTCAAAATGACTCATTAATTTATGGACATTGTTTGAGAATTATGAACTTTGAGTCTGACAACATTTAGTGGTTGAGCATTCAGTGGTTAAGGACTTTGTGCAGGACTGTGTATCCCCATGTTCACATTTATTTTGCTTAGTTTAGTTCTGTTGTTTAGTATCTGTTGTTGCTGTTACTTGTTTCACGATGTTTCTTTGATTGTGCAATTCTCCTCAACTGTAGGAAAGGAGAAATGTAGTGTTTAGCATTACACAGTGATGTGACACGCCTTGCGTCATATAGCTAAGCATGCTGGGAATAAAATATAGACAGTTGTGATTCCAACATGGCCGGTGTGCTGACTTTGTGTCATCGTGTGTAATACACACCCTCATTTAAAACATTACACTACCCTCACCTGGATGATCACACTATAAGAAATAGTTCGGTCTATCAAAAAGCCACCACTGAGATTCTCCTCTTTCTTGGGACTTACTGATGTTTGGTTTCTTTGGCTTTGATCAATGGAACCACTTCTGCCACATCCCATGTTTGTGTATACAGATGTCTGTGTCTAATTGGGTTGTTGAATTGCAAGCAGTTCTGCCATGACACGATCAAAACAACCTCTATGTTTACTTTCAGGGTTTCTTTCTTTTTCTCAGCCACAACTACAGCAGAATTTTATCTTACTCTGAACTCCTTTACCACAATCTCTACAAGGCAATGTATACATACATACATACATTTTATTTGTTATCAAATTAAAATTACAATTGTAACATGCCCGCAGATAGCTGAGCTAATCTAGGCGCGTCATGTTTGGATGAGTTATGTTGCATTTCTACCGCCCCAAATCTTAAACCTATGGATTTTGCAATAGACACCACAACAGGCCTTTCCACAGTTTTCGGTATCTCCCCTTTTCAGCCAGGCACAATAGTTATAGCCTCTCATATCGTAACATAAAAGTAAACTACCTCTCTCTAACTGGGTTATCAGGTTGCCATTAGGAAAATAGAGTGTTTATTGCCACAAAAGGCCCCTTGGCAATCGGAGAAGTGGGTGCCCCCTGGGGGGCTTATTTTGCTGAACTGTGGCCATCAAGGGTGTGGGATACCCACAGAAAAAGTGCATTTGCCCCCAGTGCTGCTCCAGTAAAGTGACCAAAATGTCTTATGATGGGTTTCCATTCTCTTGCTCAGTTCCAAGTAATGAATTACAAGAAAGTGAAGGAGAAGAGGAAGGAGAAGAAATAACGCATATGGTATTAGAAATAAACCCTTTGCACAATCTGGTCACACGATAGTACAAAATCACACATGCTGGGACATAAGTTGCATAGTGGGACTTCCAAAACAAAGGCAGGTCAAGGTGGACTCGTACTAGTTGCATTATTTTGGAAGTCCCACTGTGCAACTTGCGTTCCAGCATGTGTGATTTTGTACCACGTGAATGGATCATGCAAAGGACCTATTATGAGAACTGTTTGTTAATGTACTGCTACACTTAAGCAAGGTTAAATTCAGGGATTCAAAAGATTACCAATATTAGATACCAGACACCAATGAATTCATACTAAGTTTTAAATCAGGGTCTTGTTTTCCCTTGAATGATGTGTGAGAAATAAATTATTCTTGACATACGCTTAAGCAAAAACTTGTATTCTGAGCACTTATATTGGATATTCACGCAAGAGTGCAAGAACTGCATTCCATATCAGGCATGGGAGGGGTTGTGTTACAGATACAGTTTATTTGTTTCCATTAAAAATGACAATTTATACTACACGCATAAAGCAAAGGCTACTCGAGGTGGTCATGCACATTAACTACTTACTACACACTGAGTCACAGATCTCTAAGAGAAAGGATATTTTACTTTAGTATCATGTGGTGCAGCAGCAGGGAGTGTATTTAACCAAATAACTTTCTTTTTTCTTTGATAGAGAGTTGTCGATGACCTGAACCAACAGCTCTATACATTAACAAGTGAGGTGAGCGTGAAGGATGCAATAATTAAAGACCTTAAAGATGAGCGCGATGCAAGGAACAAAGAGCTAGAAAACGGAGGTAATGAAGTAGATAAAATTGATTTTTATTCGAGTTGGGTTTATGCAATTTTAGGCTCTCAGATAATGGACAAATGTCAGTTGCAGGAAAACCAGAAACAGATCAAGAAAAAACATCAGTTTGTCTGATCTTTCAAAAAAATTAACAACTATTCCATGAACTTGCATTGAAAGTATAAACAATAACCTCCATTTGGTGCAAAATATTCTCAGATAATTGTCCACAGACATTATCTGTTCTGAAAAGCGAAACGTTTTCTGAGAGTGCAGCTTGAGGATGACTGTGGGCCTTGAGAAACAAGTTATATCTGAGGGCAAATATCTTAGCATTAGTAAGTCAAATGGAAGCTGATGAAGGCTGTTGTGTATATTATCTCATTTTTTGAAAACTGGAAAATATCACTAGGATATTCCCCAGTTTTAGCTGATCCATATTCAGTCACTTGACAAATTTAGACCAATTGCTTGCAAGCAAAAATATTTGATGGATTATAAATGGTGGTAACAACAGTAATTAAGAGCAGCTTCACCTAAATATCAACTAGACTTGGAAATAGCAAAAATATTGAATTTCTTCAAACTCGCCGAGGATGAAGCCCTATGGGCACTAGTTTCAAAAATATTGTTTTAAGTTCAATAAATCACAATTTATTTTTTCACACAATTTTTTCATTTTGATGCCCCAAATCGCCCAAAATCGATTGGAAATGAGTGCCATTTCCAGAGGCTCGTAAACTCAAAAATAGAAATCTTCATTAAAAACTGATTGTACATCATATTTGTACTTTCTTTCGGGTATATTTAGAGCTAGATAGATCGCAATTTGATTAGAACTAAAATATTTCACGAATTTTCCAAGTTAACGACCCAAGACAGCTTAACAAGAGGTCTACATTTAGCCTACTTTCAAATTCTAAAAAGGCGTTCTGGTACATGGCTTTTCCGAAAATGACTAGTTTCGTCTGAAAGAGCATTGTTTCTGCTTCAAATCAGTGAAACAAAAAATTTTTGGGTAAATAAAATTACGAGCGCTGAGATAGCAAACTAAATGCAGCACTTCTTCCTAAAAAAGTGACCTTTGACCCAATGTAAAGCAGAATTGACCCTAACACCTTGCTTGCATGTAAAACCGCTGATAACCACGATAACAATTATTGTGAGACGGTAGAAGTCTCGTGGCCGTTTCTAAGTGCTGTATAACATAACCCTTTCAAATATGTGAATTGCTTTGTAATTGTTCAATTCCAGTCCTCGCACTAAGATAAAACACACTTTTAGACATGGTTGCATGACTGATGATGTCATCACACTAAGTTTGCAGAAAATATAAATTTCATGGCAAGAGTTATTTTCTCATAATGTGGTAACCTCCCAGACTTGAAACTGAGAAAGTTATGTGACATGCACATTTTTCAGCTGCAAAGGATGCTGTGAAGTTTCCTATTATAATCATATTATTGCTCTTAAATAACGGTTTAGCTAGAAGGATAGTCATGCAGCAAAACAAAACCGAAACTTTGAAAAATAATACCCAGAAAAATGCTGTTCTTCCAGCGTGTATTTATTAAACTTTTGTTTCCATTGGAAGCGGATCTGTATGTGGCAATGCAATATTGATGCTTTTTCATTCATTCTATCTTGCAGATTAAAAGAAAGAGTGGGCATAGTGACACCGTTCCAAAAAAAATACACATTGGAACGCGACCAACGAGAGAGACAGGAAATTGAAAGGGAGGTATGATAGACCTAAACATTTGCTACTCTGTATAGCATTTTAACATGTCGTCACAGCAGCCATATTGGTGTCCCAAAACCATGACGAAA